TTGGTTCAGACTTGGTAGATTGTATGCTTCTAGAAATTTATCCATTTCTTCCAGATTGTTAATGGTTTGGATCCACAGTGTTTTGTGGGTATGTCCTTGGTATGTACTCTCATTCTTTTAAAAGGCTTTTAAAAATGTGAACCCAACAGGAACCCTATTAATTTCATAATGCCTTCCGCCTTCTCTTTTGTTGCCTGGATTTCTGCTTTTGGTTTCTAGCCATGGGATCAATATGTATTTTAACTCTAAAATTTTTGAATCTGCATTTCTGTAGTCTGGGTCTGTGTTCCATTTTTCCCCCTGTTTTCCTTTCTGTGCAATTATGTGCTCCAAGATGACATGATCACTTTCTCCTAAGTTTTATCATGTGTCATCTTTGTTGGTTTTAAGTTTGGATTAACAGATGCCCTTTTAATTTTCTTCTCCCAAAGAAAGTGTTTTCAGTAAAAAAAGGAAGTAAATGTACCAGAAGTTGAGCCCTTAACCTGAATAACACTTGATTCAGCCAATATTAGGATGGCTAAAATGCCCCATTTATCTTTTTTGTTTCAGCTGGTCCACAGGCCAGTTTCACACATTGTGTTAGAGAAGCCTTGTTCTGCCCCCCTTTGCCTGTGCAGTCTGTGAGTGTCCCATCACACAGTACTTGTTTCTCTCTCTTAGATGTAATCTCAATTTTATTTAAGGGACAAATGTGCGAGTTGTAGGTGTCACAGGAACAGAAACCACATCAGACATAACACACATAATAGATGGCTAGGAAATGGTTGCTAAATGAAGAAAAACCATCTGAAGTCTTGATAATTGTATAGAATATGTTGCTATTTTAAACTTAAAAACTCACTTTTAAGGGCCGGCTGAGTGGCTCAGTTGGTTAAGAGCTCGCTCAAGAGTTTGAGCTCTGAGCAACAGCGGTTTGATGCCCGGCCCGAGCTGAGCTGCCAACAGGTGGCAGGATGGCTCAGCTAAAAAAAAAACAAAAACAAACCCTCACTTTTAATAACTGATTAAACCCTACAAACCCTCATTCCCTTATAAATTGTCAAGCAGTTATATGGAAATCTGTACAAAGACTTTAGATATCTGGAGTTATATTTTTCTAAGAAAGTTTTAGAAAATAATGATTTTTATCTCGAAACGATTGATCTTATATCTATCTAATGAACAAAGTAGCAATAAAATCAAACAATGAACCCACACAGCTCACTTCAGACCCACAGTTCAGCTAATAAGAAACTGCAGAAATATTTTCAAGACCAAATTGAAACAAGCCCTGTGCAGCTTCTAGTGTACTTCTTTTGTGGTTTAGAATATCCTGGAGGCAAAGATACTACACCAGGTTATAGTTTAATCAGCTGTCCTTTAGCCTCGTTCTCGCCCACCGGCACCACCATCTCCCTATCTCTCATCCCTCTCGTACAGAACCAAATGAAGAGCAGAGTCTGAGGTCTAGTAACATTGCAGAGCTGAGTCCAGGAGCCATCAATTCATGCCGAAGTGAGTATCATGCAGTGTTTAACAGCATGATGATGGAACGCATGACCACAGATATCAACGCACTGAAGCGGCAGTATTCTCGGATTAAAAAGAAGCAGCAGCAGCAGGTTCACCAGGTGTATATCAGAGCAGGTAATATGACTCTTTGTTTGAATCAGTTTCAACTCCATATCAGCTTGTGAAAGGGAGAAAAACATTCCTAGGATGGCCTCGGAATTACTACTCATTGTAGCTCATCATCCACACACACAGCTGGCATGAGATAACAGCATATTTAGCACCTTATGTTTTTATTTTATTTTATCAGGCTTTAAAGAAGAAAAAGACCGTGGGTTCTTTTTAGGTCCCGAGGACCAGGCAATTGATGGTATTAAACACATCTTTACTCTGTGGGCTTGTGGAGAGGGGTTTACAAGTGATTCAACTGTTGCAAAGCTGAGCAATCCTTGGACTTGAGACATTTTGGAGCTATTGCCTCCTAAATTTCAGGCATTTGAAAATAGAATTTAGTGATGTGTGCACTGGTAAATTAAGCTATCCACTAGTCATTTAGGTAGTAATATAACAGATGTGATTGGAGAAAAAGGAAAAAGCTATTAGCACGCCTCGCTGACGGGTTAGCAGTGTCTTGGGAGTCTGCTGAGAAGACAATTGTGCTGCAGTTGGAAATGCTCTTTTCCAAGGATTGTCAAGTTTCTTTTCTCTTTATCTTTTTTAATTCCAAAAATCCTAGTGAACCGTCTGCTTTACTGTTCACTATGTGCTGATTTGGGAATCGGTTTTTCTTGTTCTAAGTGAAATCTGAAAGAAAATGATGTCTACCCAGAATGAACTAAAATACAAATCTGATGTGTTTTTAAGAGACTTGTGAGCATGTGACTGAACTTGCACAAAAACTAAATTTAACCCCAATTAACAGGGAAAAATAGGCAACTTCTTGAAGATTCTTACTTTATCCAGAATCATTAAAAAAGCAATCACACAAGCGCTACAACTAACAACTACAGCACTGTGATTTTCAAAACACTGGCACATGCATGTCCTCATTTTGTCCTTAAAACAAATCTATGAGGAAGGCAAGGACAGATATTCTAATATCCCTTTAAAAGATGAGGAAGTGATGATTCAGGAAGGCTTAGCAATTGTCCACGATTATATAGCTATGGTGAGTGATCAAGTTAGGGCTAGAATACCTGTATTCCAATTCTCTGTATATTTCTTTTTTAACTGTACTATACAAACCTTTGGGTTGATGGTAAACAATCGCCATTGGGTACTGAGTAAGCCCAGTGCCTTACACTCTAGTCAGGGTCAGCGAACTATGGTCTTTTCACCAAATCCTGCTTGCTGCTTGTTTTTGTAAATAAAGTTTTATTGGCATTACCATTGGTTACATATTGTCTATGATTGATTGGCATTACAATGGCTAAAATATTTATCATCTGGCTCTTTACAGGAAAAATTTGCCAACTCCTACTCTAGATCATGGTTTATTTGGTTCTTTTTAGGGAGCGATTGTGGCTTAAAGGCAAAGTTCTAGCGCATTGTTTCTAAAACTTTAGTGTGCATAGGAATGACTTGGGGAATCTGTTAAAAGGAAGACTCTGTTTGAGGAGGTTTGGGTTGGGGCTAAGGTTCTGCATTTCCAACAAGCTGTTAGGAGATGCCTGTGCTTCTCTGTGGGGATCAGAGTAGAAAGGTTTCAGAGTATGTGGCATAGGACAGGATTAGCAGCACAGGTGGAGGGATTGAATTTGAGCTAGAGGCAAAAGACCTCAGTTTCTGAGATTTACAGGAAGGCAGTAGGGATTGTGGTTGAGGTACCAGCTTCTTAGGTTAGGGAGGACAGAATAGCCTCTGTTTTCATGGAGAAATTGGAGGAAAGGTGGTTTGCTTGAGAGTAAGTTGGGGGTTGGGTGGGAGCTTAAAGAGAGTAATAAAGATTTGGAGAAGCTGTTGACAGGAGTGGGAGAGTGGAAGGAAAAGATTGTTCAGCAGCATCGAAGGACCCAACACAACAGGAACTTATGAATTCGAAGAGCTACCAATCCACATGGCTGTGTGATTTTTTTTTTTCCCTAGCAGCCTTTAGCAGGTCCCTTTTGGGAAAGAATGTGAATTGTGGATGGGGGTTGGGATTTTGCCAGGCATGTGTGACAGAGGAAGGGGGATGCCTGGAACGTGTGGTTATTGGTGAGGCAGTGGTCCAAGTGATCAGCCGTGCATCTGGCCGGGTGGGGGTGTAAGTGGGCCAAAGACAGACAAGAAGTTAGGGGAAGATTGAGGGGTCAGGAACCAAAGTCTCTATGGCTCAGCACCATGTAGCGATCGATCGAGAGACTGAGAGTTCGAAGAGTCAAAGGGGAGCATGTCAGAGTTAAATATTTTCCTTGTCAGGTAGATCTGGGTGATAAAGTTTAGGGTGGACCTGGGGAGGTTGGGGAACTATGAAGATGAGTCAGTCAGACAGTAAAGTCGCTGAAGGAGGCGATAGGACATAGGGTGAAGAGGAGACAGTTGTTAAAGTTTTTATTGAAGATTGGGGTGTGACCAGAGGTAGATGGCAATAGCAGAGAGCCATAGAAAGAAGTTCAGTCAGATGAGGTGGATGTCAAGTGGAAGGATGGCAGGACCTTCTCCTTACTCCTGCCTGCTGCTGTCATCCCTGGGGCCATGTGTATCTAAAATTCATCAGAAATAGGGGCCCAGTCATAGCCACAGGAGGAAGGCAATAACACCATCAACAGTGCGTTCCAGGAGAGCAAAGCTTTTGATGATTTCCAGTTTTCAATTTGCTTTCACAGTTCATTGGGAACACAGTGATTTTTCATACTTAGGACGAGGCATTGGGTATCTGTGATTTCACCGCATTTTTGCCACCTTAGTAGCACTTCTTTCATTCAGCTATCTCTCACTCCATAATATGCAGTGTGTTCTTTCCCTACCTCTCAGAAACTGGCAGCTGATAATCCATATGGTCCTGGTGTGTGATTTATTAGCTTAAAAAAATCGTCAAAGATTTTCTGGATAGAAGACCACTGAGGTTGCTTGTCAGAGACAAAAGCTCCCTGTGAAAAACATTAGGATTCTGATTAGACTGAGGGGTCACGATCCTTAGCTTCTTGTCTCCATTTTGAAGAGGTGGGAATAGGGAGCCCAGGCTCTTTGGTTAAATACCATTTCTGCTGCCTTCAATCACATGACTCTGCCAGTCCCTGGGGAACATGTGGGAAGGGGTACGGGGACAATCGCTATGTGACACCTGTTCCACGATGGATGCGTTTCTCTGTGGTACATTTTACACAACCTTTCAATGTTTCTTTCAGACAAAGGGCCCGTGACCAGCATTCTGCCGTCTCAGGTAAACAACTCTCCGGTTATAAACCACCTTCTATTAGGAAAGAAGATGAAAATGTCCAACAGAGCTGCCAAGAATGCTGTCATCCACATTCCTGGTCACACAGGAGGCAAAATATCCCCTGTCCCCTATGAAGACCTGAAGACGAAGCTCAACTCTCCGTGGCGAACTCACATCCGAGTCCACAAAAAGAACATGACGAGGACCAAGAGCCAGCCTGGCTGTGGGGACACCGTTGGGCTGATAGAAGAGCAGAATGAGGGCGGCAAGACTCACAGCCTGGGGGCGGCCGAGGCCTTTTCTTCCAGTTGTGCGGCCACAGCTCGGAGAGAAGGCGGCAGCTGCGAAGGCAGCGCGGGGAGGACAATCGAAGGGCAGTCTCCAGAGCCGGTGTTTGGAGATACCGATGTGTCCACAGTCCAGGTGAAGTTAGAAACCTTGGAACTGGACCAAAGGGATACTGCTGCTGAAACTGAGCCCAAGGTGCACGTGCCCTGTCTGCAGCACTTCCAGGAGCTGCTCGAAGCACCTGGAGAAAACAAAACCACCAGCAAGCTGCCTCAAGGCGGCCCCCCGAAAACTCCCATCTTTAGCCCCTTTCCCAGCGTCAAGCCACTGCGGAAGTCAGCCATGGCCAGGAACTTGGGCTTATACGGTCCTACAGAAAGAACCCCAACCGTGCACTTTCCTCACATGAGCAGGAGCTTTAGCAAATCCAGCGGTGGAAACGGTAGCACGAAGAACCGATGATACCTCCCAGCACCTGTGTGTCTCCATTCACCTCTTCACGGTGGTGTAAGGGTTCTGGCTGAATGGGTCCAAATAGAGTTTCAGCTGTCCAGTAACTGATGGATAGGCTCAGAGATGAGTCACAGTCCATAAAAATTGGAAGTTTTGTAATGGGCGCTAGGTTAGGGATGTTTTCCCCACCACTGATAACCGTTAACAGTGGATTCTTGTGGCAAAATAAATACTGTGGTTTTAAAGTGTGAAGTTTTCCCAATTTTTCGCTGTGAGCTGTTTAGAAAAGATTATGTATCTAGACTGTTAACATGGCTTCCCTCCCCCTGTTCTGAGGACCTTCAGGGTCCCTGTGACAACAGCCCCTCCCTACTCCCAAATCTTCTAGTCCTCTGGGTGTTGTTAATACTCAAGCATGCACACACTAGCTTACTAGAACAGAAACTGTAAAAAGAATAAGTTTCTTCGTTGCAAAAAACTTGCTGATTTCCCTCTTCATGCCCTCTTGGGGGAATATGTGTGTGTATGAGTTTTCCTTCAGTTGTTTTTTTCAGCCAGTCTCAAAATTGTTTTTTAATCTTATGCTAAAATGCAGGAGAAACATCTAGATAGCCTTTCCTTCCCTTTTCTATCTCTACCTGGAAAATGAAGAAAACCTTTATCTGTTGAAATTTAGGTTGATCACCACCATGAAGATCTTATGCAGAGAACACAAATGGGATAGGCATTCAGCAGCTGCTCTGAACAGCTTGCTAATTCCAGTAAGCTTTCCCCAAGGTTCATTTTCTCGTCTCAGGGGGTGTTCCGGTTCTCAGTGGTGGGATGGACCAATGGGCGCGTGTCCTGCGTCCTCCGCCATGCAGTTAATTTACCTGCCAGCTCGGCACTGCAGAAGCAGTGAGGCCTCTGCTCAAAGCGAGAACAGCACCTGCAACTCTGTTACTTGAAGTTTGTGCTTGTTTTGCTTTTTTAAAAAAATTTTTATTGAATACTTTGTTACGTGAACACTGCCTTTCTCTGGAGAAGGCCACAGTGCTTTCTAGTTCTCTCTTCCCTACTTCTCACTCCCTCCGCCCCCACCCGCTTCCAGCAGGTCAGAGACAGACCTGTTATCTCCACTATGCAGAGGGGAACTCAGCCACAGAGAGGTGAAGTAGCACTTCAGATACTCAAGGTAAATACTGCCAGGACTCAACTTAGCCACGTTTCCTCCCCTGCAATAGGCGGGTTTAGTTCCTTGTACACAGATGCATTGACTACATAGGTTCTAGAAACCAAGACTGGGAAGCCATTCACTGCACTTCCTCCTGACTCAAAAGATCTTTCTCCAGACCTTACAGAGTCCTGTGATGGTGTTTCACAAAACCAATTCGAGCCTTTTTACCCAAAAAGGTAGTTCATTTATAAAATGCTGCATGCAGCTGTCATTTGGCTTAAACAAAAGGCTCACTCCTTAATTCCCTGCTCCCACCATCATGAGAAGAACAGGCTCAACATCTTTATCCTTGTCTCTGGGAGACCTTGGCTGTGCTTGCAGGCATGTTGTCAATGTGGTCAATATTAATTTGAGTTAATTGGATTGCTAATTCTGAAACCAAAGCTATAGTTTTAGACAGGGCTTTTACTATGAGAGACAGTAATTTTTATCATAAAATAAGGTGGTTGTGTGGGCTTTTTGGAATAGAAAGCATGAGCATGATATGTACAGTGAGAAAAGCCATTTTAGCCCTCTTGTGATATTTTTACCCCCAAAAGAACTGGAAATGGAAAACATGACTAATAAGATATTGCAGTTTAGGCCTTGAATGCTGTGCCATCTGAAGTTAGCATGTAGCTTCTTAAAAAGCAACTGCGCCCACACGCTTGTGTCTTGGGATGGGTGGAGCTGGAGAGCTGGGTGTACTCTGCAGACCACCCTGGGGACTGAGACCCACTGCTTTTCCTAACGTTAAGCAAATGACACGATTTTCTTCCATCTGCTAAACTTTATAGATAAGAAGGATTCCACCTCATATTCTTCTCTCCTCCCCTGTCCCAAATGAGTCAGAAATAGTCTTGTTCCCCTGGAGGGATGTCTGACTTGAATAGAGAATTGTTCTTTCCTCTCTTGAGTCAGCTCACAGCTCCCTGAGGGTCTGAGCCCAAGTCCGGGGAGGTGGGTAAGAGGTGGAGGCCACTGACCGCAGTCGGGGTGACACCAGGGCTGTCAACCAACTGTCTCAGTGTTAGCAGCACTCGCCATCCCCATTCCCCAGTGCTGGTCTTCCTGAGAAAGGGATGGATGAGATGGCACATGGTTTGGGATGACTATTTGTTGAATGAATAACTGAAAGGATAATAGTCTTTTGAGGTAAAAATGACCTTGTTGGGACTTTAAAAAACCAACAGATTTCTGTTAAAGCCCTCTCTGTACCGATAATGTGCATGCATTGTACCATGTAATCACTTCCAATTATGAATTGGTCACTATTTATAAGCCTTGCCTACTTTAGAAAACGAAGAAGTCTGCAGGAACCTGTACCACACAGCATGTACAAAAACCAGGATGAACTCATTACCTTCCCCGTGTATTGGACACTTGTCTGCAAGCACAAGAAGTGCTTACCACATAGCGGTTTCTTTATCTTTAGATATGCCTGTACCCTGTCAGCACTTGTGTCGGGAATCGACTCCTTTGGTGGTCTCTGCCCCTCAGTCCTCTCACAGAAACCTCCAGATGAGCTAAACCTAGTTTGTAACATTGACCTATGGGCTGTAACTGTTTGGAATACTGTATTCCCTTTTTTGTCTCTCTTGTTGTTCTGAAGAACTGTATTGATTACAAAGAGATATGCATAAAGATCCTCGTTGTTGTAGCTGTTGTGCCGTTTTCTATCTGAACACTGTTGTGAGGCTCCCCTTCCCGTTCTCTTGCCTCTTCAGCTTTCTCGCCACGTTGGTCGCGTGAACCAGGGAAACAGCCCAGTAAGCTCCATGGCCCCTGATCTAATCACTGAGTTGGGTGGTGGCCTATGACCTGCTGAGAACTTGGCAGAAGAGTGGGTTCCTGAATGTGAGTGAGCAAAGAGATTACTTACGAATGTATGTGTTTAAAATTAACCTTTAGTCTTTCCTTTGTTTTAAGAAAACAGAACCATAAGAAAGCAACTTCACTTTCTGGTCTGTGGATTCTAGATCAATAGAGAGCTGTGATCGAGTGGACAGCTGCTGCCATCTCCCTCCATAAAGCCTCCTTCTACTCTTTCTGAGTCACTTTCTTCGCTGTCTACAGCCATCATTTGAGGCAGCATTTTAAATATATATGTTTTCTGGAAAAGTGACACATGTCGTAAGAGAATTTGGAAAACAGAAAGAGCACAAGGAATTGTCCGTATTCTAGTATGGGTCTTTCCAATATGTTGTTATACAGAGGGTGCCAAAAAAATGTATACACATTTTATAAAAGGGAAACTTGAAATTGTAATGCTTAATATATATCAATAACAAAAGATGAATAGAAGTCATGTTTGACTTCTGCAATTACAAGAGGTGCTCAAAGTGGTTACCATCAGTATCCAGACACCTCTGATTACAGCGAACTGCTGCTTGAGCAACGTTGACCAAAGTGTCCACTTGTACACATTTTTTGGGCACCCCTGGTATGTGTGCCGGTGTGTGCAAGTATACACACCATTATCTCCAAAAAGGTGTATCGAGTGTACGATTGTAGTTTAAGCTGTCTTTCCAGTAAGTGCTCTTATACAGCGTCATTTTCAGTGACCAGTATTCCATCATGTGCTCATGCTGGAATTCACATAACCAGTACCAGTTGTAGAGGTTGTTTCTGACTGTAGATAGTGCGGAGCAAACGAGCATCGTAACACTTACATCTTTGTGCACAGACTTAAGTATTTTCTTCAGGCATGATTATAGAGCTGGAGTTGCAGGGTCAGAAAGTATGTGCATTTTTAAGACTTACATATATTGACAAATTACCATCCTTAAAGGCTGAACTTATTGTACAAGCAGTGAATGAGAATGCCTGTTTCCCTATACCTCTGGAAAGGGCAGCAAGTTTTTCGTTTTTTTTTCTTTTTCTCTAGGACCTCCAGTGTTGATAGAAGCAACAATAATGGGCATTCATATCTCATTCTGCCCTTTAAGGGAACCATTAAGTAAGATGTTTGCTGAGATTTCTGGTAGATAACTTATCAGGTCAAGGAAATCACCTTTATTCTTTGCTTGCTAAGAGGTTTTTTTTTTTTTAATCATCAACAAGTATTGAACTTTATCAAATGATCCCTAGTTGTACCCTTTGAGAAGGAAGTAATACTTGAGACTTGGTATCTTGAACTTGAGAAAATAACCATTACCAGGTTTCATCAAAGAATATGAAATATTTTAGCGTTGGAAGTGATAGCAGGTAAAAGTCTTATTTGCAAATTTGTATTGCAGTATTAAATTTACTAATTAAAACTTGGCAACAATGTAAGCATCTGAGACTAGGGGAAATGGTTAGGTAAATTATGGTTCATCCGCAGGATGGAAATGCAATGGCCCGTGAGTGTTTGGACCATTGAAATGGCAGTTATCTATTATCCACATGAGGCAGTTCAGATTCAAGTCAGCCAAGTCTGGAGTCACAGTCACCAGATAGAGCTATGGCGGGGAGGTCCTTACTGGATGGTGGCTGAAAGCAGAGCTGTGCAGTGTGGTCCTTCCACCAAGGCAGCCTGTGCTCTATCAAATGGGGACTGAATGGGGACCTGTAGACTTTTGGGGTTGGGTCAGCTCCCATAAGGGTCCCTGCCAGCCATCTCCTGTAGCTGAGTCTACTTCTTTCCTGGTGCTCAGCTCTGGTGAAACCCAAGGACCTCCTGCAAAGTCACTCTCCCTCCTGTTCTCTTCATTCCTTCCAGCACAGGGAAGCCTTATCTGATTGCTCCACCCTGCATCCCAAGGGCCTCAAGAGTCTTAAAGTTAAAAAAACAGAAAGTTGACTGATTCTTAATATTTTCATTCCTGCTATAACAGTTCTAGCGTTCCTAGCCAATGCTGATCCCTGGGAAACTGGTGGATCAACTTCCTTAAAGGGAAATGGCTCTTTGGGAGGTAACTATGTGATACCTCAACCCACGTGTCTCTCCACCCTTGGAGAGTCTAGGAATCTGTATTAAAGCAACAACAAAACAACCTCCCCTAGAAATTTTGATGATGAACCTATATTTGGTAGCCATTGGTAAATCTAACTATTTTAATGGTCTCTGAACCCCTACCCCACACCACCTCTCTCTGTTGCCATGGCTACACATTGTTGCCAGAGTGATCTTTCTAAAATTAAAAACTGATCAAACCATTCCTCTGGTCAAAATCCTTCCATCGCTGACGATTTCGTGGAGGAGAAAAGCTAAAATCCTTATTTTAGCTTGACCTGGCCCAGGGTTATTTTTCCACCATCTTTCCCATTCACCGCCTTCTGTGATTTATTATCATCAGCACAATAACACCAACCCTTTGTTGAGATCCTATGTGCTAGGCACCGTACTTGCTGTTATATGTATGTTATCTTGCTTATTTTTTCCAAGAACCCCACAAAGCTTATTATCCCTGTATTAGAGATGATAAAAGTGAGGTGGGCGACTGTGTCCTTGGTCACGGTCACCTAGCTGGTCAATAGCAACGTTCTGGTTTGTTTGATGCCAGAGCCTGAGCTCAATTCCTTTGCTACAGTGACTGACAACTCTGCATCCAACTTGAAATTCCCTGAAAGCTCCTTGCGCTCCCAACACCCTCGTAAACCAAACCAATGCTGAGCGCACCCTCCTTGCTCCAGTCTGCATGGGAAACACCCATCCATCCTTTCTGTCTTACCACACACATTAATGGGGTCACATCCAATCCACGACACTTTCCAATAGTATGGTGTTGGTCAAGTTACTTAACATCTGGGGCTTTGGATTTCCACATCTGTACTAGGAGAATAATAATTGCAACCTCCTAAGGCTTGTTGTCAACATTTGCTATTTTTGCTGCCTAGAATGATGTCGTGATTTCCCTCAGGGATCCAGCCCTCCTCTACCTCTGTCCATGTCTGCCTGGTGAGGCCCATGCCCCTGGAGAACAGGGCCTGAGCTAAGCCACTCAGCACTCTCCCTCTTCCTGGCCATGGTGTATGATCCGTGGTCAAACATACGGGCAAAGAAATTCAATTCCTGGGCTCTTGTTTTGAACCCTTGGGGAAGCCGACATGCTCATTTCTATTGGATTTGAACCTGGAAGGAAAACGCTCAGGAGTCGCTGCTTGTAACCACGGGAGGGGAGCTGGCTGGAGAAGTGAGTCAACGCTGAAAGAGCAGAGCCAAGAAACAGAAACCAGGCTCCTTTCATAGGAGGGGACGCCTGGATCAGGCCATCCCCGAGACTAAATTCGTCTCTCTACACGGTTTATTACATCAGCCAGCTTTAGCCAGTTTGGTCAGGTGTTCTATTATTCGTATTAAAAACTTGTTCATTGGAACAGGGATGTTATGAAGATTACAGGTTATAAAGGCAAAATAGTGGATAGTAGCGGATATTTTTACTTTACAGTGATTCAGACCCCTCCCGAGCTTTCTCTGCTGTTTTTGACTCTGTGCTGCCCGTTTGTAATAACAGCGGAGAGAGATGACAGTCGGGAAGCATGGTTCTTGTTTCGTGAAGAGGGTTCTTCCCTTAGGCCCTCGAGTCCTCTTTGGCCTTGTTTCCCCCCATCACAGAGAAGGAGAGGTGATTCTGAGTGTGAAATGGGGTGTGGCCAGTTTTGCCTACCGTTTCAGCCCCATCTGCACTCACGGCTGGGTCCTGTGGCGAGCAGAGTGACTGTAAACAAAACACAAAAGAGTTGTTTTAACCAAAATTCCACAAAATTTGGGAGGCCAAGCAGCATATTTGTGGAACTCCCCTCTCCGAGGGGAATAGAAACAGAGGGTGGCCCTCTGCCCCCCTCAGCTCTGCCACGCAGCTTTCTCACAGAGAAGGCTCGAGTGCGTGTCTGGTGGTGTCTGCTGGGAAACTGCAGGGCTGGGTGGGGGAGGGGAATCATGGGAGCCTGCAGCGTTCAGCAGAGCCATGCGAGCACCTGCTGGGAGCGTGTCTGTCTGGGAACACAGGAGAGGCATCCCTGCAGGATTTCAAGAAAACCTTGCCCCATGTTAAGGGGATAGGAAGGCTTTATAAGCGCTGTTTCAAAATATGTCTGTGAGAACAGTGATTTGAGTCATTGCTGTTACAGGGACCCTACCTGGGCCAAAAAGTTGCTGAGGTCTGGGAAAAGCCGGGTTACATCTAATTGTTACGTGATAAACCCCACAAATGTACATGTCGCAGAACCTAGCAGATGGTGAAAAGCTTAGACTTTTGTTGCATGTGGAGTTATGGCTCAGGATTTCTAGTGCATTTTTCAAGTGGGTGACAAATCACACACGGGAGGGAGTCATGGAATTATTTAATACAAGTGTTTGTGTTGAGATAATGGAATCACTAAATGTCAGACATACCGATCACGTAGCTCAGTGGTTTTCAATATTTTTAAGCAACAGAATGTTGCAAAGTTATTATTTAAATTTGCACTTCAAATAGGTCACATGTGCACAGGTGAAAATTCCAAACGTAGAAAAGAGCACGTAGTGAAAGCTAGGCCTCCTTCCACACCTTATTTCTTAGCCACCCAGTTTCTCTACCTGCAGGAAATCACTATCACTTCCTTGAATAGCTTTCCAAAGATATTTTATGCTTATTCAAGCACATTCACACACACATACATTTTCATAAGTAGTAGCATAATCATCTTCTGAATCTTTCTTCACTGAAAGCATCATGGAGATCATTCCATAGCAGT